CTACAGCCAAGAGAATCCGAATGGACTTAAGCATAGCTACTGGCGAAAAGGTCTCATCATAATCAATACCCTCGATCTGGGTATAACCTTTCGCAACAAGCCTAGCTTTAAAGGTTTGCACCTTCCCATCCAATCCTCTCTTTCTCTTATAGATCCACTTACATCCAATGGGTCGTACCCCATCGGGTAGTTCTACAAGATCCCAGACCTGATTGGAGTCCATTGACCCCATTTCAGCTTTCATTGCAACATTCCATGAATCTGCATCTTTATCTTGGAGTGCCTCATCGTAAGTTCTTGGGTCCGATTCTAGGCCTCCTGGAACTGAGTCTGACGACTCTCCAAGACCTATCCATCGGTCGGGTAAATGAGAAACCCTCCCACTGCGACGAGGCACTGTCTGCACTGGTACACTCTCAGTGTGTCGTGTTGCAGTATTATGTGATGTATCTACTTGCGCACTCGGTGGGGAACCATCGCTTTCACCCCTTAACTCCTCTAAGACTAGTCTACTCGCGGGCTTATGATTCATAATATAGTCTTCTTCCAAGAATCTAGCGTTCGTCGAAACGATCACCTTCTGATCCCCGGGACTATAAAATAATCCACCTTTCGTTCCCTTGGGATAGCCTACGAAAACTCGTGCTTCCGAACGTTTCTCCAACTTGCCAGGTTCCTGCACTAACACGTGTGCAGGACTACCCCAAACTCGAAACTGTGAGAAACTGGGCTTGCGCCCTTTCCACATCTCATAAGGGGTAGTGTCAACTGACTTCGACGGAACCATGTTCAGAATATACGATGCCGTTTCCAATGCCAAACCCCAGAACGAATCTGGTAACCTCGAATAACTCATCATAGACCTAACCATCTCCATAAGAGTCCTATTTCTTCGCTCTGCAACCCCATTCTGCTGGGGCGTGCCGGGTGCAGTCAGTTGGGATTCAATCCCAGCTTCCGATAAGTATGTCCTGAACTCTCCAAAAAGGTATTCGCCACCTCGATCAGAACGAAGTGACTTGATACATTTACCATGAAGCTTCTCCACAACTGCCCGATACTCCTTGAATTTCTCAAAGCATTCGGACTTGCGGTGCAACAGATAAACGTACCCAAATCTCGAGTAATCATCTATGAAAGACACATAGTACTCGAAACCTCCTCTAGCCTGGATCGACATAGGACCACACAAATCAGAATGAATCAATCCTAGCACTTCTTGGCTCCTATACCCCTTTGCCGTAAACGGCCTCTTGGCCATCTTACCTTCCAGGCATGATTCGCAAGTTGGATAGTGCTCTTCCAATGGACCGAGATGTCCACTGGCCACTAACTTTTGAATCCTCCTAAGGTTGATGTGTCCAAGTCTAAGGTGCCACAGATATGCTTGATTCATCTGCGAAGACTCCTTCCTCTTATTAGATGTAGTTATGACATTATTCAATTCATTATGTTGCACTGTGGGAGAGTTCGGTTTGAGAACATATAAATTGCCAACTAATGAACCACAACATATGAAACGTTTTTCAAAACGAATAATAACCATGTCATCAAACGAAACTGAAAAACCATCTATAACGAGTTTAGAAACTGAAACAAGGTTCTTTCTAAAACTAGGAACATAAAGGAAATTTCCCAAAACCAAACTACTACTATCGAACGATAAAGTAACGTCTCCCACTGCAACAGCTGCCACTTTCGTAGCATTGCCCATGTAGACGGTGATCTCTCCCTCCTGGAACCCCTGCAAAGAATTGCGGACATGATCAGTGGCTCCAGTATCTACACACCAGGTTCTGGTAGATACAACCGCTAAACATGTTTCTACGACATTAACGAGAGAGTTACCTTTCTTGAGGAGAGGGCAATCGACCTTCCAGTGTCCTGACTTATTGCACTTGTGGCATCTTCCTTTCGGTTTCTTTGCCACAGCCTGAGGGGTCTGTCGTGGGTAAACCGGAGCATCCTGTGCCTTCGCCTTTCCTGCAGACTTCTTTCTCTTCCTGCCCTTGTGAGGCCTGGAAGGTCCAGCCTGCTCGGCGACTAGCACCTGAGGTGCTTGAGTGAATAAGGCCTCCGCTGACTGAAGCTCTGCAAGCAGTTCTGGAAGAGCCATATGCATCTTGTGCATGTTGTAGTTCAACCGAAACTGATCAAAGCTCTTCGGCAGAGATTGGAGCATAATATCAACCTGGGTTTCCCCGTCAATATAACCTCCCATAACCTCAAGCTCATTGAGCTGCGCCATAACCCTGAGGGCGTGTTCCCTTACGGGTGTGCCCTCGTCCATGCGCGTACTCATCAGAGCACTCAAAGCCTCTTGCCTAGCAGCCCTAGACTGATGTCCGAACAGATCCCTGAGATTGAGAAGTATATCTGCTGCAGTGTCCTTAGACTGATGCTGATGTTGAAGAACATTCGACATAGAAGCCAGAATGTAACACTTCGCCATCTCATCAGCCTTCTTCCACCGAGCATACTCCTCTTTCTCCTGCTCAGGAGCATCAGCCGCCGGCACCGCCGGACAAACATCAGTGATAGCAAACTTATAACCCTCAGCAGTCAACACTATGTCTAAGTTCCTCTTCCAATCAATGTAATTAGGACCTGTAAGTTGATTTTCTTTTAGAATGACAGACAACGGATTGAACGACATGATGAATATCCTGAGAATCATTCAAATAAATTTTACAGATTAAACACTTTTGAATTTAACTGTTAATATTGATATCCTCAAAACAACATTAACTTAAATCCACCGACATCTATTACACCTTGTGAGAATGCATGCTACGAGGGTCGCCCTACAAACTCGCATTTTGTAAGAGAAGGGCTTTTCTAAGGCCCATTAATTTCCATAAGTCAAAACCAAATTCATGACGAACGAAATTAATAGTCGGTCTCCATTTGGCCATGCAATAGAATTCAGGGACCCCGAGGGGGGTTAATAAATTTAATCGCATTCTAAGTGAATCCCATTTCTCGGTCCTAAGGTCGTCAAATTTGATTATACGTCATCCGAGGGGAAGCCCGTACGCTCTCATAAGATTTCCTCTAACCGTCTACTTTTAGAAATTTGTCCTGGTAATTTCCTACAATTAATTTTAGCAATGTCACCCGAGGGGGAGCCCATAACCGCAATTAATTGATTTACCGACAAATTAGAAATGGAGGCCTTAGGAATTTTACAATTAACTTTAATTTAAAATCCCTTCTCAAACTTAGTATAATTTAATGAGGATTTTTAACTATTTATACAATTCCAAATTAATCTATGTTAATGCAATAATTAATTAACATGCATATTAATTCATGCAATTCTAAATTAATCTATGTCAATGCAATAATTAATTAACATGTTCAATAATTTATGCAATTCTAAATTAATCCATGCCAGTGCAATAATTAATTACATGCATAATTTATTGACACAATTCTAAATTAATTCTATGCATTACATAATTAATTAATATTCATAATTAATCTAGCAATACTAAATTAATCCCATGCAAGAACATAATTAATTAACATGCATAAATAATAATTTAATGGCATAATAAATTTAATTAAATAAATAAATAAATCCACTATTATGGCCATTAAATATTGAGTCTCCTTAAACAAGGAAACTGTGACAGTTCTTTTCCCTGTTCAACTGGAACTCCTTTAAGCAGTAGAATCCTGGTTGATCTTGTACTGCTTGGACAAGAAGGCAAAACCTCTCCACCTCCTGCAGCCAACCGCCGACTGCCGTCTGGCTGCCGCCCGCCGCCGCCAGTGGTCGGATAAACGCGCCGTTTCCCTTTTTTTTTTTTTTTAATTCTTCGAGGCTCGTTGATCTCTTGTGATCTTCCGGTTATCAACACACGATCACAACACGAAAAATATAATTTACAAAATTACATAATTCGATCCTAGATCCAACGAATGGATGTACATGTTTTCTAAACAAATAATTAAATCTATCCGGTCAAACCCCGGGCGAATAATTATTACAAACATTCATCCATAAATTCCTCGACATGCCCGAGGCTTTAAAAACAAATTTAAAACCATACATCACATTCAACAACATTCATCAAACACATAATCGGCTGTACATCGGGTTATTCTCTCAAATGGGAGCAGCGATTCCTTAGAATGAAGGTGATTCATTCCTTAGATTGAGGGCTTTCATACCTCCAGTGAGGATCCTTCTGTGTTTTTCGAATTCAATCGTCATTCTCAGAGGCTCAGCTTATCAGACATTAGTATTGGTTTGCAGAATGACTGAAAACGAGCAAGAACCACGGTTCGAAGAGGAAATGGCCAACCGATTGAAAAATTTCTCTTTGGCTGGGACGGAGAACCTAGTAATTGATATAGCTCAAGATAATGTAAAAGCCAGTGTCGAGGAATGCAGCAGAAGCTTGGTAGGAAAAATCATCGGCCAACGTAGAGCCTCTCTCTTTGGCCTTCGACGAGCCATGACAGCCATCTGGCGAATTCAATATGGTCTAGAGGTTAGAGAAATCAGCCCTAACTTTTTTCACTTCATCTTCAAGAATAGAGGCGATTTAAACAGAGTTAGAATGGGCACAAACTGGATCTTCGAAAATCAATACTTAGTGCTGAAAGATTGGAGGAAAGGTATTAAAGCATCCGACAACTGCTTTGAAGAATTAGACCTCTGGGTGCAAGTCTATAATGTACCACTTGACTGGTTAACCCTAGAGGTGGGGATCAAAATAGGCAAGGCCTTCAAAGGAGTTAAGAATGTTAACATTACCAATGCCATGGGAGCAGGAGGAAGAATTCTTAGACTTCTGGTCACAGTTGACACCAACAAATCCATCCCAAGATGTTCATCCACAAGGCTAGGAGATGAAACCTCTACAGTGAGCTTTAAATATGAAAGACTGGTTAACCTCTGCTATTACTGTGGTGAAATTGGTCACCTAGACAGGGAATGCCATAAGAAAATTCAGGATATTGTCTCAGGAGACACCAAACAGGGACAGTATGGAGAATGGAAGGCAGAAGATACAAAAACTGGTACCACCTCAAACCCACAAAGCAGATCATCAGACAGAAACCCAGATCCACCCACTGACACTAATAAGGAGCAAGACTCCCCCTCAGACAAGGGATCAGACAGCTTAAGACTCCTCACAGACATAGCAGAAAACCATGGTAATCATCAACCCCAATCACATGGTAAAGCTAGTCTAGTGGAATCCAGTTCCTCTAGGCAAGAAATACAAACCTATCATGGCAGGTGTGAACCCTCTGAACCACAACTAAAGGAGCCTGGGAAAGAGATACTGCAATATGAAGGCAACTGCCCCAATCTAAATATCTCTCCAAAGGGAAGTACTGAACAACATATCTCCCCCACTGAACCTCTATTGACTAGTCCTATGGACACTCAAGGGCCAAAGCAGAGAACATGGAAAAGAATTGGAGCTAAAGAAGGCAGACTCCAGAGAAATAGCTCAGAAGACCTTAAAACCCAGGATCAAGGAACCAAAAGAGGCAGAATAGCACAAAAAACCTTGTCAACTGTCCAGGAAGACCCAATGCCAGAGGAATCTGATCAGAAAAAACTGAAAGCTCACTCAACTCAGGTGGAGAAGGCCAGCCTTGAATGGCCCCAAAGTGAACCATGAAAGCTGTGGTGTGGAATTGTAGAGGCCTGGGTGGAGCCTCTACAGTTTCCCAGTTGAGGGATTCTCTAAAATCCCATCACCCACATTTTATTTTCCTATCAGAAACAAAAAATACTAATCCTCTTGTCTTAACTGTTTGTAAAAAACTAGGCTTCTCTGAGAGGCACAAATCCGTAGAACCAAGGGGTCTGAGTGGAGGGTTACTCCTGGCCTGGAGTAGAGAAGTGGAAATTAATCAAATCATCAGTGACAGCTTCCACTTCGAGGTTGAATTCAGACTACATCATCAGGATCAATTCAGATGGATTGTCTTTGTCTACCTCAACACTGACAAGAGACTTAGAGAAAATCAATGGGGTGAACTGGAAGCTAAAAAAGGCAACTGGGGTGATCACTGGTGCATGATTGGAGACTGGAACGATTTAGCTAATGTGGATGATAAAAAAGGGGGCAGGACAAGAACTTCAGCTAGTCTTTTGGGTTTCCAGACTTTCATTGCCAATATGGGAATAGGGGAAGTGCTTAGAAAGGGATACCCCTACACTTGGGGTAACAACAGGGACCAAGAAGGTTTTGTAGAAGAAGCACTGGACAAAGCTTATGCATCTCTTGAATGGCTCAGAACTTATCTAGGGACTCAAACAACTTCCTTCTTTAAAAGCTCTTCTGACCATCACCTCCTTCTCCTTGAAGATGATCCAACCATTACCAACCCCAAGAGCAGGTTCCATTTTGATAAGAGATGGGTTAAAAGGGATGGGCTAGATGAAGTGGTGCAAGCAGCTTGGAATGGAAATCAAGAAGGCACACCTCTCTTCATTCTCAAAGAGAAGATAAAAAGAACCAGAGAGGCTCTGATCAGATGGAGCAAAAACTTCAGGGCTGACCACATATCCAAAGTCAGGGGAATTTCTCTCAGACTTGAGGAAATGAGAAAGGAAGGGGGTAATCGTGACTGGGAAGAATGGGATATGCTTCAAAAAGAAATGGACACATCAAACCTTTCTGAGGAACTCTTCTGGCATCAAAAAGCTAGAGCCCAGTGGCTCAAAGAAGGAGATCAAAATACCCATTTCTTTCATGCCTGGGTTATGCAAAGAAGGAAACTCAATGCTATTACCAGACTAGTTACTGAGCAGCAAAATGTTTGTGATACTAAAGAAGCTATTCAGGAGCATGTGGAAGATTTCTACAAAATCCTATTCACCACTGAAGGCTCTTCTGGGGGTGAGAGTATTCTTCAAGATGTGCCGCACACCATCTCAGACTCAATTAACTCAGAGCTCTTGGCCCAAGTTGAAGAAGAAGAGATAAAGCAGACACTCTTCTCCATGAATCCTTCTAAATCCCCAGGTTCTGATAGTATGCCTGCCCTATTTTTCCAGCATTTTTGGCCTTTAATTAAGCAGGACTTGTGTGAAGCTGTTCTTAGTTTCTTCCTCTCTGGGAAAATGCTCAACTACTGGAACCACACCCTTTTAACTCTTGTTCCCAAATGTGCAACTCCCAACTACCTCTCCCAGTACAGACCCATTAGTTTATGTGCAGTAGTCTATAAACTCATTTCTAAAATTCTTGCTGGTAGACTTAGAAACTGTCTTCACTGCTGCATAAATGAAGCTCAATCTGCTTTCTTACCTGGGAGGCAATTAACTGACAATGTGGTCATAGCAAATGAAGGTATCCATTTCCTAAATAGGCATCATACAGGCAAGCATTCTTTTATGGCTATAAAACTGGATATGATGAAGGCTTTTGACAGGATTGAGTGGAAATGTATCAGAATGACTATGCTCAAAATGGGGTTTGCAGCACAATTTGTTAATTGGATTATGGAGTGTGTGTCTACTGTTTCCTTCTCCTTCATTCTGAATGGCAGCATCAGTGGATATATTAATGCTCAAAGAGGATTAAGGCAGGGGGACCCTCTGTCCCCTTACTTGTTCATCATTGTCTCTCAAGTCCTTTCTGCTATGATCACAGCGGCTGTGGAAAGGGGAATTTTCAGAGGTCTATCTTTAGCCAGAGGGGCTCCTATCCTTACACACCTTCTCTTTGCGGATGATTCCTTAATCTTCTGTAAAGCAGATGGATATCAGGCTAGAGCCATCAAATCAATCCTTGAATGCTACCAGAAATTCTCAGGACAGAAGGTAAACACTTCCAAATCTTCTATTTTCTTCAGCAAGAACACCAGCACACTAATCCAGCAACAAGTCTGCCACTTCTTTCCTGGTATTCAAGTGCAAAACTCGTCCAGATATCTAGGACTACCATTTGGCATTGGTAAGTCAAAAAAGGAAGTCTTTGGGTTTGTGACTGAGGCTGTTAGGAAAAAGGTGCTCAGCTGGAAAAACAGGTACCTATCATCTGCTGGGAAGGAGGTACTTGTAAAATCTGTTCTGAATGCTCTCCCTCTATTTGTTATGTCATGCTTTAGACTGCCAGTTGCCATATGCAAGGAGGTGACAGGTATCATTGCCAACTTCTGGGGGAAGAAAAACAATGAGCAGCACAGTGGAATCCATTGGAAGAGATGGCACTTATTGACACTAACAAAGAAGCAGGGTGGGCTTGGTTTCAAGGATTTATCCCTCTTTAATGATGCCATGTTGGTCAAGCAAATCTGGAGAGTGATAACTCAGCCACATCTCCTTATGAGTAGGAATTCTTAAAAGTAAATATTTCCCTAACTCTTCCATCTTTGAAGCTACTCAGAAACAGAACTCCTCCTGGCTTTGGAGATCATGGCTAAAAGTCAGATGGATCCTAAAAGAGGGACTAACTATAGACATAAAAAATGGAGCTACTGTCCAACTGCAAGATTTCAATTGGGTCCCTGGTCTAAGAGGAAGACCTTTGCAGTTCAAGAATGCAGCTGACCACAAGAAACTCTGGGTGAAGGACCTCATGAATGCAGACCACACATGGAATGAGCAAAAAGTAAAGGAAATTTTTGTGGCACAGGACAGCTCTGAAATCCTCAAAATCAGCACACTTGACCCTCTACTGGCTGACAAATGGAGATGGAGCATTGACACCAAAGGCAAATTCTCAGTCTCTTCATCCTATGCTTTCCTCTTCCTCAGAAAATTTCAATCCCTTGACATTGCAGAGGGAAGCAACACAGCAACCAGAAAACCAACAAGCAAGACACAGAAGCTGGAGCATAAGAACCAAAGGCAAAATAAAACATTTACTTTGGAAGTGCTACACCAACTCCATGCCTGTGAACCTAAAACTGCAAAAAAGAGGAGTTGATGTTGATGCCACTTGCCCCTGCTGTGGAGAAGCTCCAGAGACTGTTGAGCATATTTTTCTCACATGCTCCAGAGCAAGGAAGGTGTGGAAGATGGCACCGGTTAGCTGGGGTGGAATTGAAGTGGACAGTTTTCAATTCTGTGATTGGTGGGGAACAATATGCAGCTTGGATAAGTCTAAAGCCACTGAAGACAGAATCGAACTCACAACTTACATTTTATGGTGGCTTTGGAAGTCTCGAAACCTTTGGGTTTTTGAGAAAAAATGGAGGCCCGAGCACAACATTGTCAAAGGTGCTTTGAAAGAATGGCAAGAAACAAAGAACAACTGCACCTGATGCTTCAGCAAGCTATGAGTCCATAACTAGGTCTATTTGATAGTTCAGTGGTTTGGCCTCTTGTTTGTATTATGGTTTGCCTTGTTTATTTCTCATTAAAGGATCCAGCTATGTTCTGCCTTTAGTGATTGGTTTGTATATGTTTACCCTACTTCGTTTAGTAGTGCTCTCTGGTCTTTACCTTCGGCTTTTGGCTTGTATTTGCGTGGATATTAATTGTACTTGACATTATGATCCTATTTATGAGATTTCCTATCGTTTGAAAAAAAAAAAAAAAAAAAAA